GACTATCCTGACCAACACAGAAGGCAGGGGATGCAGCCTCCCTCTCACAGTCCTGGACCGAGGCTACTCGTGTCTCCTTTTTTCACAAAGAAAGAAATAATAAAGGCAAAATAAATGCAGAAAGTTAAAGCACTAGAAGTATTAATAAATGAAAATTGAAGAATTCTTGGGATTAATATATTGATAAACTCCCATTCGTCTGGCCTCATACCCCTTTTTCCCGGTTTAAATGATGTCGGGTGGCCCAGCAAGGAATTAGCTGGACATGAGAAGAGCCATAATGGATCCGATCGGGTTTCTTTTACCTTCGCGCTCTGCCCCCAGTGGCAGATCCTCAGGGAAAAAGTATAAAACCAGGATAAGCATCAGGTTATGTTTCCACCAGCAGGTCAAGGAGCCTCCCAGCACCCCCCTTCCGTTGGGCAGCATTACTTTCTCCAGCAAAAACTGCCAAACACCCAAACCGCATCAGCTCAAACCCCACCAAGACTCAGCGTGAGGGGCTTTCATGCTGCCTGTCAGAGCAAGTGCCTTCGCTGCCGCACGCTTTTAGCTCTGTTGGCAGGATTAAGGGCTGTCATATCCAAAACTTACACATGCCTCCCTTAACCACTTCTGCTTCTCTTAAAAAGCTTGTTTTGCTCATCAAAATCCCGTGGTCAGCATCTGTCATGTTTGGCAAACTATGAGTGGCAGCTCAGAAGTATTGAAGACATTACTGACAACCAAATGACAAAAATAAACAGGAAGGGCCGTGGTCTTGCGCTACCAAACTCTGCCTGATGTCTTCCAGATGAACATGCTCACAGCAGGGATGGTGCCAGCGCCAATGCACCCCGTCGCGGCCCAGAGGATGCCGACGTCATGTTAGAGGTCTCCTGGGCGTTGGGGGCCCGTGGGCCGAGACACTGTTAGCACCCGCGCTCCCACCTGCTTGCACGTAAAAACTCACACGTTCTGCTTGTTCTCATCCGTGCCAGTTTTCGGGAGCGCCTGGAAAACGCCTCGGCAATGCCCTAATTGCATTTGTGCTCCTTCCCATCATGGGGTGCAGCTGAAGGGGGCTTTGACCCCCTCCACGGCACCTCACAGCTCTGGGGTGGGACAAGGGACTCCCCCCACCCAAGGCGGCCGCGCCGGGGAGCTGCTGTGGGCAGGACAGCAGTGGGAGAGGCGGGGTGGGAGGCGAGAGCTAGACGGGTCCCACGGGGAAACCGAGGTGTGGGGCCGGTCAGAAAAGGGGTGTGGGGCTGGCGGAGAAAGACATGGAGTGGGACTAGGCGGGCCGCGGGCAGCGAGTCAGGGAGCGGCCGCCTCTCGGTCCAGCCCAAGATTTGGCAGCGTTGCAGGTGGCTTTACAGCTCGGTTATAACTGGCAGAGGGTTTGTGCTGGGCTTCCCGTGCGCATGCTGCTCTTCTCTTCCAGATGCTCTGGGGAGGGCTGGATATTCAGGCCAACGGGACAATCCAGCTGCGGGATGAAGAGCTGGCCTCCCTGTGCCCGGCACGGCGGTTCATGCAGATTTTAGAGGATGAAGTTCCCAAAACACCGACAGAGATCGAGCAGCAACTGAGATATTATTCCCTAACTGACACCCCTTTGCCTCTCACAGAGTTTGACCGTCTCCTTTTCACCAGCGTTTACTGTGCCTATCAGGTTCGTGCCATGCAGGGTCTGGATAAAAATCTCTGGATTAGTTTTTTCTCTCAGCTGGTTGATGAAATGTTTCGTGATCTGTGCAAGGGGCTCTGCCCTGCAAATACCACCCTCCTCCTGGCTTCCTGGCCCTGGGAGGAGAAGCCTTCACATTTAGCATCCCTGAAACATTTCTATCCTTCTAACCTGGCCAGGACCAAGAGAGATAATAGGGGAAACCACGGTAGGAAAGGACACACCTGACTTCAGCTGCATCCTTGGTTATTTGGAATGCTTCCCACATTATTCAGGACTTTGTACAAATACGTCACCCCTTTTTGTCCTGCTTTCTGCGTTGTGTTGGCAACCCTCTAAGGATGTATACATAAGCTTTTAGTTTTAAACGGAATAGGACAAAACTATAAAACGCATTTCATCCTTTCCTGGGTTTTTTTTCTGTTTGTTTTTTAAGCGGGTGTGCTGAAGGGGGCAGTGCTGTTCAGATGTGTTATCTATCTTGACGACTGATGCGTACCAGGGAGATGCCCTGGCAGTTTGCCTCCAGGATGTGACACTGGTGTCCTAGCTGACTTCATTTCAGATAACTCAGTGCAGCCTCCTTATATTCCCCCGCGGTTTCAGCCAAACACAGTTTCTTTTCTCCTCTCAGTAACCAGCTGAGCAGATGCTGTTATGTTTCATGATATAGTTCACATATTTAATTTCAGCTTTCTTCTCATGTGGCATCACATTTTATGTGTCCATAGTAATTTCCCATTTCGTATATTCATTTTTCTTTAAAAAGCAACCCAAAAACGTATGTATTCCATGAAGATTTCTAGGTTTTGCATATCATATTTACACACGTACATTGCTTTGTGTCAATTATCAGTCTGGAATACACTTCCTTAAATCTCATTTAAATTCCTAAGGATCATGACCTAGTTATTTCTTCAGCAGATTTTACCTCTTCTATGAAGTTTTTTTGTACAGCTATGGCACTTTACAAGCCAAACATAATAAATACACAATCTCTATCTTCAAAATCAGAAATACAATTATTTTATAGAAAGAGATCTTTAACTTTTCTCTGTCTTACACATTGCTATGTGGAATTAAATAAATGTAATTATCTACTCGGGAGGGTTTTGATTTTTTTGTTTGTTTGTTTCTACTAGGTTTCCTGCTGCCATTATAGGTACGTTAATTGTGAACATTCATTGCATGTGCTTAGATGATGGGATCCATAATTCCCTTTCTATCAATATAGTCTTAATTTTCCATGCTCAACAAAGGAGGCATGTGTGACATTCAAAGTGGGAACTGCTAGCTTTTGACCTAGTTAATTTTTTTCTGAGACGACGTTGCCCAACAGATGGAAAGGCGAAATGGTGAGGCAGGAATAAGAAGCCTGGAAGCAAGATGCCACAGAGAATGGTTTTTGAGGTCAGGTTAGGGCTATGACAGGAGAAGACAGATTTACACAGTTCATAAAGCAGGTTGGTTGTTGCTTCTTTGTTTGGTTTTTTTTTCCCCGAGGGATGTAGGAATTAAGATTAGCATTTTATTTGAAGTATAACTTCTAGTAAACTAGTGTCCCACCTAATGTTCTTCTATTCTTATGCTGGTTTTTTACACACCTCAAACCTCTACCCTTCATCCTTTTCCCAAATATGCCCCCAGTCTTTAATGTCTAGGATATGTATGGAGTGACGGAGGCAGAGAGTGGCTGCAGACAAGTTCTGTTTGAGCAGAGACCATCATCAAAAGGCTGAGCTGGGATGGCACTAGTGCATGAAAATATTGTCTTGCTGGAGAATATACGGTCTGAGCTATATGAATGTCCGGATATAGGTTGAGGGGGTTGGCTTGGTGACTCAGATGCAAATGCGCTGCTTTGAACCCAGGATTTTGTGAGGATCAGTTTAAGAGCATTGCTATCTGTTGAACAGATTATAAATTAAACTCAAGTGATGTCACAAAGTTTTGTGCATGCTCAGGATGATGCGCATTTGCAGTTTATGTAGTTTGGGAGACAAACCAGAGTTTAGCTCAACTGAAACAGCACCAATTGCACTATGATGAAGCCTCCAGGCTCCTGGTTTCTTACCACCTGCCTGGGTGGATCCTGCCATCAGTCCCAACTGCCCTGTGGGAACACACCAGTGCCTCTCTACAGCAGCACCACGGCTTGGCGGAACACTCTGTGGAAGAAACCACTGGAACACAGATGCTGAAAATATCAGAGAGTCATAGAATCATTAAGGTTGGAAAAGACCTCTAAGATCATCGAGTCCAACCGTCAACCCAACACCACCATGCCCACTAAACCATGTCCCTAAGTGCCTCATCTACACATCTTTTAAATACTTCCAGGGATGGTGACTCCACCACTTCCCTGGGCAGCCTGTTCCAAGGCCTGACCACTCTTTCAGTAAAGAAATTTTTCCTAATGTCCAGTCTAAACCTTCCCTGGCACAACTTGAAGCCATTTCCCCTTATCCTATCACTAGTTACTTGGGAGAAGAGACCAACCCCCACCTCGCTACAACCTCCTTTCAGG